GAGGATGGGCGGAAGCTGAAGCTGAAGAGCAGCGCGCTGAGCGCAGCCTGGTAGGGCATCTGCAGGTCTCTTCCAGGGCTGCAGAGCTGAAACCATCTCCCTGGGGAGGCGTCAGTCCCCGCTTTGCTGCTCCACGGGGGCGGGGGGGGGGCATACGCTGGCTCCTGGCAGACTCCTTGAAGTGCGCAAGGGGTCTTGTGGGTGGGAGCCCCAGACAAACATCGTGCTGGCTGGAGTCCCTTGGCGCTGGCATCCTGACCTGCTGGAAGAGCAAAGAGGCTCTGATTCCACTCTCTGGGGTACCGTTGGCAAAGCCCTGGCTTTGCGAGATGAGCTTGAAACAGATTGGCCGTTCCAGAAGCCGATGAGCACAGAAGGTGCCTCCCAGCTGGGGAATTGGTGCCAGGACTCTGCGCGTCCTCCTTTCCCTTCCCAGCCGTGGGAGGCAGGTGGTCTGTTGCAGAGGGTTTGCTCTCCCTGCTGAGGGATGGCTTCCACTGACCGCGGGACGATGGCTTCTCCCCTTGTGCAGCAAAAGCTGAGGCAGAAGCAAGCAATTGCTGGGTCAGCAAATCAGGGGCCATTGCCCAGCACTGCCCAGCGAGGGGCCCCTCAGAAGCCACCAAAGAAGACCCTGAGGGCCAAAGGAAGGGCTGGGGCCCCTGGTGGTCCCCAGGCTGCATCAGAGCCCAGCGGGCAAAAGAGGAAGCGGCCCGGGCACCCGCCAAGCCTCCAGGCCACAGAAGGAGCCACCTCCTGGTCAGGCTTCCAGACGCGTGCAGAGGAGGAGCTGGTGGAGCTGCCAGGCGGCAAGAAGCGGCGCAGGGTCCTGGCCCTTCCCTCCCACTGGGGGCCCAAGATCAGGTAAGCAGCAACAGGTCGGGGGGTCCCTGCACAGGGAGGGGAAGTCATGCCGCACACCCCTTCAGCCTTTTGTCTGCCGTGCTCTGCCAGCTATACGGGAGCTTTGAGCGCTCAGAGGCGAAAAGCCATTGGTGTGGCGCTCTGGACTGAGGGGGGTCGTTTCTCCTGGCAGGAATCGTGATAAGGGCAAGGCGAAGGGGGCTCCTCCGAAGAAGACGACTAAGCCAAGGGAGCAGAAGGCTCGCAGGGCTCCCCATCAGGTGGGTTAGCTGGGTCCCCCCCCTCCCCTCCCCTCCCCTGCAGAGGCCACCAGCCACCTGCCTTTGCTTCGGAGCCTGATGTGCGGTCCTCCTCCAGGTGTCCGAAAGGAAAGGGCGGGGTGGTCACCGCCAGGTGGAGGCTCATTTCGAGCAACTGGTGGAGCGGTATAAGCAGAAGATCCTCGGTGGTGGCCGGACTGCGCTGCAAGTCAAGAAGAGCAAGTGGTTTGAGACCTGAGTCACCCCGGCGAACGGAGCCCCCCAGCTCAGGCAGGGCGGCCTCTTCTGACTCTTGCTGCTTGCATATCGAGTGCTGCCCTTGGTGAGAGGGAGGAGGCCGTGCCTAGCGGCAGCTTCCTTGGCACCACGTGGACAGATGGGACACAGAAAGTGCATTTGGGCTTGGGGCGGGCAAGCAGGAAGAGCCCCTGAGGCGCCGGGGTCTCTGCTGGCCCAGGGCTTCTGCAGCCAGGGCTGCTGGAATTGTTCCCCAATGCTGCCGGTGCCTCTGGAGGAAGGGAGAAGGCAAGGCAGCCTCCCGCTGGGCCAGGCCCATCCTTGCCACAAGGGGTGAGTGTGCGGAGGGTGTGGCTCGGGGCCCTTCCTCTGCACTCAGTCCCTAGCCTACAGAAGCGCGTCCTCGCAACATCGTCGTCTGCACGGTGGAAATCGCAGCGGAGGCCTGCTGCGAGGAGGAGACGGCTCCAGGCACAGAGTCCCCATACCTTATTTGGACTCTTTTAATAAATGGCTTTCTCAGAATTGTGGTTCCCGGGAATCTCCTTCTGGCTTGTGTTCTGGGGTGGGTCTCTTGCCTCCATGGTGACCTGCCAAGCCCTCCCTTCCCTTCCCTTCCCTTCCCTTCCCTTCCCTTCCCTTCCCTTCCCTTCCCTTCCCTCCCCTTCCCTTCCCTTCCCTCCCCTTCCCTTCCCTTCCCTCCCCTTCCCTTCCCTTCCCTCCCCTTCCCTTCCCTTCCCTCCCCTTCCCTTCCCTTCCCTCCCCTTCCCTTCCCTTCCCTCCCCTTCCCTTCCCTTCCCTCCCCTTCCCTTCCCTTCCCTCCCCTTCCCTTCCCTTCCCTCCCCTTCCCTTCCCTTCCCTCCCCTTCCCTTCCCTTCCCTTCCCTTCCCTTCCCTTCCCTTCCCTTCCCTTCCTCATCAGCCTCCCGGCTTGGCTTGGCTGCTCTTTCTTCAAAGCCCAGGCACTTTGCTAGTTTAAACCATCACATTAGCTGGTTCGCCATCTAGATTGGATGGCTGGCAGGGAATTTTGGAGTTGAAGTCCACACTTCTTCAGGTGGCCGAGGTTGAGAAACACTGCTGTAAAGAGTTACTGATGATGGTCTGATTGAGTTGCACAAGATGCAGTTTCCACAATGCTTCACCTGGTCGTTGGAAAAGCATGGCTGGCTGGGGGATTCTGGGAGTGGGAATCCACCCATCTTAAAATTGCCAAGTTTGAGAGAGACTGATCTAGAGCGTCAGCAAACTAGTTTTTCTTTCTGCTTCCATCTTGCAAGACATACTCCCTTGGTTTTTACTGGTCAGCACCCTGTCTCAGGCAGATGGAGCCAAAGGCAACGCGAGGATTACGAGAAGAGCCGTTTACTGGCTGCCCTTCGGTTTTCTTCTTGAGGACTCTCCAAAAGGGCTTGGCTGAAAGTTCTCCGGAGCTGCAGCCGTCCTCTTTCCCAGGCAGGAGCGCGCTCGCGTTGGCTCTCCGGCTCCTCATGCTTGCCACCCTCTTAACCGGTCCACGTGCTGCTACGGTTACTGTGCTCCCGGGGACAGCCCACAGCCATCCCGGTTGCAGCTCCAGCAATCTTCCAAGCTTGGAAGGTCTTCCCTGCTTGGGAAACTGCGCCTGGTCCTCCAGAGCTTGTTTGCCCCATTTCTGGTCATGGCATCTCTTTTCCATCAGGAGGTTGGAGACCTAATCCTGCTATTTTAGCCTGGCTCAGAAGTTGTTCTACCACGTGTTGCAGAGGACCTCACAAAACCAACCTCTGGATTGCCAGCTTGGCTCTTAAATTCACTCTGGGGGCCTCTTGACCAGTCTGCTGCCAGTGAACAATCCTAGCTGAGCGTGACTGTTCCCATTCACTCCACAGCCCGATTTCCCAGACACGTCTCAGTGGGGGGAAATGCTTGTTTAATGTATCTAGAACAGAGGCTTCTATTCTAGACTGGGATAAAGTCGGCTTTGTAGTTTGCAGCGCGGCGTATTGGAGAAACCCAGCCATGGTTTCAGCAGGTGGTGTAAACCAGGGCATCACGTTGAGCCGTGCGGGTTCTTCAGTCGAAGCAGGTTCTGTGAACAGAGCGTTTGTGGTGGGTTAACTTGGGCTGAGGTTGAAGCGTGTGTGAATCTAGCCAGACTTCCACGATGATCCCGCTTCCTTGTAGGACGATTCTGCTGGCCACTGGTGGTGCCTCTGCATCCTTTGGAACAGACTCCTCCGGCCTGACGCCCTCAGAATACACGGGACCACCAGTCTCATCGATCCCAGGAAGCGCACGGCTTGGTCAAGCGCTCTTCTTAGATCGGCCTGGAGGAGGCCAGCGGTCCAGAAGATCTGGCAAGCTCCACCCAAAGCTGTCCTATGGTGGGAAAGCGAGTGGTGACATGTTGCTCTGGGCAATCGGTAGACTCGGCTGGCTGGAGGTCTGGCTTGGACCCAGGGTGCTCCCAGCATCAGCTGGCGGGCCAGTGAGTGAGCCCTGCCTGGGAGGGTTCACACCAACATCCCCTGACCTGGCAGCCTCCAAGGCAGGCAGTTCCCCGCCAGTGGTCCCAGCCAGCCGAGGGGTGACGGCGCGGAGGACACCAGACGGGAGAAGATGAACGTTGCGACTCCGCTCCGGCTCTTGCCACATTCCTGTAAACAGGCCACGTGTTACAAAATGCCAGTAAGTCGCCTAAGATCCTCTGAACGGGAAGCAAAGCGGGGTAATGCTCTGCCGCTGGAAATTTTGACTCCTCTGGGAAGCGGAGTGTCAACATATGATCTCACTGAACAGCCTGGTGCCCGGCGAACATTTGCGTGGGAAGCTTTTTCCACTTTTGAGGACTGCGGTTGGAGCCGGAGGTCTGAACCGACACTCAGCCTCTTCTCCGAGCCCCAGTGCGAGGGCCACCTCGTCCTCCTGCGTCAGCAAGGGGCTGACCGTTTTCTCTTGGACCAGGCAGAAGCTCCACGGATTTCAGGATGCTGGTCCTGCGAACCTGTGTGTGATCTGTAGGACTTCTCCCTTTAACTTGCTTGCCCCCCGACACTCCTCTTTGACCCACTTGGCCAGGTCTCAGGGTGAGGGGAACACGTGAATCTGTGCAGGTTACTTCATTCGTCTTGTGGCCCTTTTTCCTGGATCTCACAGAAGTGCTTTCTGGCCTGTTCGGGGACCCCCTTCCTGGCTCAGCTCGCTCTTTTCCTTCACCTACACCGTCCTACAGCCCCAGCGCCTGGGCCTCTGGCTAGCGCGCCCTCCTTTCTCCAGCCTTTGCCCCCCCCTCCACTTCTGGCAACACCCTTCCGGGGTCTCGGCCCACGGGAAAATCACCTTCCTTACCTAGCAGGGGGCCTTTGTAGGGGGAGGCCGGTCTGAGCAGGAACAAAGGGAAGCTGGGACAAGGGTGTGTAAGTGCCATCCTCTGCAGATGTCTTGAATTTTGGAAGTTCATGCAGAGCGGCTTGTGGGTCTGGCCCGTGGCCTGCTGGATTCCCTTCTGTTGCGAACCGTTCATGTTCATAATGCAAAACTGACGCCCTGCTTTTCTTTCCCCCCGCCCCGGCGCCAGGGGAAATGAGCGCAGAGCCAGTCCAGCGGCCTGACTGCCTCCTTTCCCGCAAGAGCCTCCCCTCATCTGCCCTACAAGGTTCCTTCCCTTCACCTCCTGCCCACTGCTCTGCTCTGTTCTGCTCTGCTCTGCTCTCTCGCCTCCTGAGACTGAGCCCAGGCCCAGATCTCCTGGGGCCATCCCAGGGCAGGGGAGCAGGCTGGATGCAGAGTGTGCCCGAGTCAGGGTGGCGGCCAGAGGCCCCTTATGCACACGGGACCCCTCTGCCAGATCTCTGGAAGGAACATGCCCAGCCCGAGTGCCAAACGGCGGGGGGGGGAGGCGCCTCCCTTTT